TGAAACAGTCATAAAAATGCGAAGGAAAACATTCGTCGTGACATTGACCACGGCGTCCTTGCGACTGCAAACAGACTATACAGCGGGTATATATGAAAACACCGCAAATATTTTTGTACGACAAAGAATGGTGTAAATTACGAGCAAGGAGCGTGGGTACACAATTTTAAATTATTACTCTCATATTGTATCCTTTGCACCTAAACAAATATCAAATATTGTCCACGTGATGGAATATTGTTATAGTTACCTTATAACCATTTGAATAACAACTTTAATAGTTGTTATTCAAATGGGTATAAGATCATCTTATATTTAAAATTCTCGTGGCACAATATTAGTTACCATGCTCCTCCGAAACGGCTTGAGCGATTTTAACCAAAATTTTATATTCATATTCAGTCAGGTCTGAGAATTGGCTACTAATATACTAGGCATGAACCCCTATTTTTAATAGCAATTTTAAGGACAGCTAGTAAAACATTACGTTCTACACATTTTCTTCTGAGTACTAATACGGTACCTCTTGTTACAAACAATGCAATGGCCATGACTCTACATACATACATATATACCAATTAGGGGTCGTTAACTTTAACTTAATAGCCTGATAGATATGGATCAAGAAATTGGTTTAGATCTAGATCTATTATGTTTGATATATGGTCTATATCACTATGATTATTAGGCTGAGGTTTTAATTATTTGATTCCTTAATCTAGAGTAAAAATAATAAGATGGGTTCTATAAATAGGTCATAGACGTATATCCATACCATATATAGTTTTATAAATGCGAAAGTTTGTTTGTTCTTTGTTACCTTTCCAAGACTCAACGGCTGAATAAATCTTAATGAAATTTAAAATAATAATACACTGATTATTATACAGATACTGTGGATCAACATATTAGACTATTTAAGTCTAATATGTTCATAGTAATGTAGATAGTTAATTAAGTAATTAATAGAAGGTTGATGAGAATGAATTTACAGTTTGGCTTTGTTTGTTAACACAGTAAACTACAATCTGTCGAAAACTATTGATATTAAACTGAACAAAGCCGCAGTTAAAAGATAGTTTAAATTATACACGTTGGTTATATATAATATAAAAAATAAAAAACTAGCAAATCTAAAGAAAATCAGATATAGATATCTATGTTTCATGTTTGATTTGCGAGGATCAATCTCAGCATAGATCCCATAAACTTTACGATAGTACTGCGGATAACCATCAGTCGCGACCTTCTGATGTTAAGTATATTTACAAATGACGTAAAATTGACTTATGTTGACTACAAAGTAAACAGCACAAATTGACCCAATCATGGGGGCATCACAAACCAGTTTTGTCTTAACATGTTATATTTTGTTAGAAACCATAACACAGCGAATCAAATATAATTATAAGTCAAAAAATTTACGTTAATTAATTTATTTATTTAAATGGTGATTAAGATTAAAATCTACAGACATCTGATACTCTTCTAGCTATTTACTAATAAAAATTTTATCATAATCTTTCAAGTTTTATAATTAAAATTAGCTGATAACGCAAGTAAATTTATTTTATCGTGGTGTTTAAAAGGAATCTAAATGTATAGTTTTCATTATTATATTTAGTTAACTTACACGATTATTGTTTTTAAATAACAAAATGTTTTTTTCCGGATTACTCTAATGCTGTTGGCCGCAGCTGGCCTTGCAGCTTCACCGTACGATAGGATGCAGACGACTGCAGATGGCACTCCAAAACCACGGAAGGACTTATGGAACGGCTGAAGGCCAACTCCTGCCTAACGGATACGACTTCAGTCTGAGGGTACCGCAAGGGGATCGAACCTCGGCTCAGGCCGTCGTGATTTCGAGTCTCGTTTGAATTGGACGGGGCATCGATCGGAGGGTACAAAATAATATAATCTTATTTCCAATGTTTTAATACTTAAGTGTATGGCGTGTTATTTATTTCATTTTAAAGCACAGAGAAGACGTTTATTTTAATTTAAATTGATCGATTGATAAAAACGCAAAACGCTACTCATTTGCACCGTGTACCCAAGCACCCAAAGTCGCAACAAACAAGTACACAATAGTATATGCGTAACGAAAGAACAGCTGTTCCATCACAATGGAAAGTCGCGTTCGCCAGTTACGCAAACCACTTCATGGTGTTTACAAAACAACAAGCTGAAGTTTCAATCGTCTAATACGTCTTGACTCATGGCTTTAAGTTTTAAAGAAATTGCTGGAGACTTTTTTTCATAAAACATAAGTATTGAACTTTTATATCAAGGATCACCATGGTGGATAATACCTACGCTGTAAGATGTACTCGTATTGGCAGTAAATTTTGTTTATCAAAAATCTGAACTGCAATAAAACCCTATACTAAACATGAAGAATTTAAAATACAAGACACAGAGAGTATTAGTCCTTAAGAAAGACAACGTAAGGGTTTATATCTGATATCCTGCTATTCTGGACTATACTTCATCAGAATCAGAGAATATTTTTTTAATTCAAGTTTCATATAAACGGGAGATTGAAATTTCAATTCTAAAAATATATCAATTGGTAAAAAATACAATAAAAATAGGTATGAATACAACGTCATAGTGCGTATAACATTACGCATATAATACGTGTAACTGCGTCTAGTCTCTAGTCTAGACAAGAGGGGAGTCGAAATAGTGCAGCACTTTGTATCTTGGTAAAAAGGTTGCACTTAAAATTTTGCGGCATGAGTAGGGTATCGATTTTACAAAACTAAAACCTTTTTTACGTAATTTTTTTATACTTCGATGATGGCAAATAAGCTGATGGCCCGCCTGATGATAAGTGGTAACCGTCGCCTACATACAGGAACATCACGTGATCAAGTGACGCTCGTGATACCACTCACGAGTTGCCAAGCTGAGGCCGATATCCCGCTGCTGTATTCTGTAATTTCACTGCCTTATCTCGATTCCAATCAAAACACATCTGACAAAGCAAGCTGCTTGGCGATTGATATAGGTAAGACTGAAGTACACATTGACAACCTTTTAGAAAGTCTATAGTAAATTAATAAAGTAATCGTAATTCTGTTTAGGTTTGTTGAATACCTGAAATATCACTATTTCAGGTATTCGACGAGAGGTTTGTAAACGAGAGGTCTGCTATCTATGTCACAGAATATTCTAGATTTGTAATCTAAGTAGTATGATTAAGATAAGTACAGTCTCAAGATTAACTGAATGAGATCTGTTCCAAGCGATAAGTTCTATACTACTTAGTAATCATTCTTTATAACATTTTCTTTAAATGTACAAATAATTTATTTTCTTCCTCTAAGCCTCCATAGGCTGATAAGGCACTTATCACTCTTGAAATTGCTGTCTACTTCATGCCTAAAACTATCATAACGATATAAACTATGTACTGTTTGTTCTACACAAAGTAATCTCGGATTAAATTAACATGGCCAAATGGCTTTATTACTCTGTATATTATATCAATGTTTTTGTGGAGATTATTAATATTACTGTAAGATGAAAACATTTCGTAATTTTTTTAACATTACAGTGAAATATATGCCTTGGCGATGTCCACATTAGAGTTTAATGTGCCAAGGGCAAGTGTATAATCATCTCTGGATTTTAGCATTACTTTAGCATTTTTTCCCATTTAAAATAATTTAACTTTCACTATTTTATACATTATCATTTAGAATAGTAAACAGTCTACAGTCAGTCAGATTATTATATAAAATTTCAAGGAACAACTTTTAATTAAATTCAGTATACAAATATGCTTAGCGAAATGGAGGCATAAATTTATATTACTACAGAGTACCGACTATTTTAGATTCTGCATGTTCACCAAAACGCCAACACTTGACACAACCATTTGAGACTAACCCATTTGCGATTATACAATTAACATATTTTTTTATTACATAAATAACTATTTATTTTATAAATAATTACATAAAATGTGTAAAAGTATCATCATTTAATAATATGAATATGTGTTTACTTAAGATCCTTTTTGAGATATATATAAGATTACTAATTCCCACATACAAAGCCGCGGGTTACAACTACTTTATCATAACATTAACGAAAACCTCATCATTAGTAACTCACTTGAAAGCTCGTAAAATTTTAATGGTCTTATGAATATGTATTGCCCAAGTTGATCGTTTAACAACAAGGACAAAATAAACATTTAAAGAGATTTTAATGACTTTCTAATCATGAGTGGTGAGAAAATAGCTATATCAAGGCAGATAATAAAATAACTATATAAAGAAAGGCCTTATTAAGACATGCTTTTAAACGTATCAAAGCATGATCCGATTTTGATCATAATTAGGAAGCGAGCTGTAAACTGACGGATATGTATGAATTTACATATGAATTCAAATCAATATATAATTGTTATTGAAGATATAAATATTCAATTACAATCAAATAAATGACAATATTGCTTATATGTAGAAATGTACTAAGTAGACATCTAAATATACATATAGGTACTCTAGCAAATTTTATCCAAAAGGTTTCAAAACAAATTCCAAAATCGGAACAGACAGGATCACTATTTACAACATTTTTAAGTTAAACAACCAATTATTCTTGGTCAAATACGATATAATAAGTTTTAGTGTGCTTCTACTAAATCAGATATCCCATTCATTTTAATTTTTAGTTTTTCTTCTTTTATTCACCCTATTGCAACAGACCACTCTAATGCAACACCTAACAAATATGATATGCTGAAATCAGTTATTACTTTCAGCACTTCTGAGAGGCGTACAAGTCTGATTAGTAAATACTGAAATCAATTTTCGATAGGTTATAAAAATCATTGTGAACGATATTAAAACTATTTTAAATGTTTCATATATAGTATAAATAAATGTATTCGTGAACAGACGGAAAGTGTGTCCAAACGAACACCGACAAGCCTGGTCACGGCGATTTACATAAATCAAAGTAAAATAAAACAACACCGATACAAGGACATGGTATTTTATTATATAAAAATAGTGTGCGAACGTGTAACTCATGTCTCACGACATACACAAACAAATATTAAACCTATGTTTTTATTTATAAAATGCATTCACTCAGTAAGTAATTATAAAACATAGCCTACTTTGTTTTTAACATAGTGAGGTTGTATCGTTGAGTTTTACAACCACGAATGGCGCCACTCCCTTTCGAAATCCCAATACAAATATTAGTACAGCATGAAACGAGAATATTATTAATTTAACCAAATTTGTATCCATTTCGTCGAACATGAGATTAGATCAATAAAACCTTTATTTTTCAAATATCGAAACATCAAATACATTAACAATATAATAAAAAACATAAAGAAGCTTTTGCCCTCTTCCTTTTAGATAAAAAAAGTATATATGAATCGAAGAGGCCCCAACTTCAAAGGAATTCCGTGCCAGAGATAATTCCGTAGGCTAGATATATCAATTGACATAGACCCACTAATGCACAGTAAAATCTGAATTCAAACAGATAACTTCTCGTCTACGCTGCACATGTCGCAAAGAAAAAAAATGAAGCAAGAACCGATTTATCATGTCGTCCCACGCACGCGCCAACCAATAAGCAAACACAGCATAAAAATAAAAAAGGAAAACATCAAAATAGCCCGTAGAGTGTAAAACCCAACGATAGAGACTGCGTACGAGTTTACAGTCCATGAATAACTTAGTTATATTCACATTATCTACATTATGGAACTTTATCTGGTATCACTTACATTGTTGGACCCTTGCTTAAACAAAAAAGTTACAATGAGACGTACGGTAAAGTGTTCAATTCGCTGTTTATCAATGAAATAACAGAACATAAATTTATAATGATATTGCGAATGTTGAATTAAAACTATGTAATAAATTTGGTCATGAACGAGACTAACGTGGAAAAAAGGTAACAACATTGTTATTTCGTTATGTCAACAACGTTACCGTGCCGGCTTTTACACACAAATAAAAATACGTGACCAATGTATACGGTTTGAATCGTGCTGACAAATAACAGAAACATTCGCCGAATAACAAAGTAAAGTTGCATCGGAGATGTATATATGTTTACAAAAACTATAACAAAAATATTGTGTGTACACACAAAGTGAATGACCTCAGCGTAAAGCCTACTCAAACTACGATAAGAATCCAAAATGCAACAAGAGATTAATTTCAAACATTGTCAACAATGCAACTCTTATGCAACGATAACGATTATACAGAAATACGATTACAACTTACTGACGTTAGTCACGCAACTGCAAGAAATAACCGTAGTTTTATCGCTTCGAACGACAGTACGTGAAACACAAATATTAATGGATTTTGGTGAGACTGATGTTATATCATTGTGAAGTAATGAAATGCGTAATAAAATTTATATATTCCGAAAGCTAGTATGTGATAACGATGATGTATGTGGACGGATTTATAACGACGATAACTTTGTGATTTGACGTTGATGTAGTACGGTCTCAATAACGTCATTAAAGTATCTGCATATAAGTATAAATGTACAAAACCATTGTAACACATGGGTACCATGTTCCGCTGTTAGTAGAGCATAGGAATATTTCTACAAACAATTTTATCGTAAGTAAGCGACTTCATGCTTCATTTTTTACTTTAACGTATCAAATTATATAGATAATTTTAAACTAGTGATAAGAATTCTCATTATATACTCAAATAGCTGCTATGTATATTTTTCTGTACAGCAACATTGCGGAATTGGTAACCCGCAAATGTGTAAAGTACGTTTCTTAAATTTAATCATGAGTCGATTGTAATGAAAAAAGTCATTAGAAGTATAAAACGGTGCGCCCGCGCACGAGGCGCCACCCGGAACGGCGTGCGCGGTGAAAATCGCGGGAAACCGCAATAGAGACTGCACTGCCGATGCCGCAGCCGCGAGAACCGTGTCAGTAGTGTGAAACGCTAATTGCGCACACCGAGTAGTATGACGACTGTACAAGATGCTTGTCTACAATCTATTCGCGTAAGTGGTCCATCTAAAGCAATTTCTTTCTAGATATACACGAACAATAGTAAAACAACACCGCGATAAAATAATAAAGTCCTATTTGTTATGACATTATTGAAAAATATATATTACATATTAAGTAATGGCCCTAAACGTTAAATTGTATATTCATATCAAAACTGCATTAATGTATCTGTGATAGTTTTCTCGCATCTAAAATTACTAATAAACAGCGAATTATTTTGTGTCCAGATAAAGCTCCCCGTCAGCTTCCAACACTATTGTTAACAATAAATTAAATTTAGAATCTACAGGAAACTGATACGGAGATCTGAATTTGAATGCATCGCTATATGAAATGCTCTATGCGTGCCTCGCTGTGACAATTTGAGTCCAGCTCAAATGGCGAGCGTAGAGATCCGTGAAATGCTCAACGACAACGAAGCTTTCACTAATTATATTGATAACACGATCACAAAGATTTCAGGCAGTAACTAAGGCTAAATCACAAATATTACGGGAACGTTCGCCGGCGACGAAAGTCGTCGCGAGCCCCGACTCGGATACATTCTCACTTTTTTTGCCATCTTTTTTCACACTAGATTCAACTTTGTCACTGTTCAACGCACTGTTCACTTTATGATCGTAGCTTGCAGTTATAAATTTGTTCACGGCACTTTCACTTTTATCGGCGAAAAAAGAGCGGCGGTCGGAATTCGCAGCTAAAGGCGAGGTCGAAAATAATTTAATTTCTAGATCGCGATGTCCATTCATAGAAGTGACGATCTCCGAAGATATTTCCAAAGCAAGTGGAGACCGAGGCTCCGGAGAGCTAGTCCTCCTCGTGGGTGGGAACAATGAGTACAAATTTGGTGCTGAATAATTGTCGCTACTGGCCTCGCGTCGCTCTGGGGCACGAGAAGATGGATCACTCCAGCTCCGTCGTAATGTGGTATCTGCTCCTCGTCTGCCTAAAGGACCGACAACTTTCATCGAATCCTCCAACTTGGTAGGAGCAAAATCCACACTAGAATTTTCATCAAGCAAATCTGCAATAGAATCAGCATCCCATATTTGTCCCACAGGATCACAATAACGACACTGACAAGAACTGACAGCAGATTCAGCCGGCGAAGCAGCCTCAGCCAAACCAAAACGAGTAGCTTCTAAAGCTTCTCCCAGCGCAGAGACCCTATATGTCTCTGGTACTGGATCCGAAAATTCCATCACTTTAAGGTCCAAACGATACGGTAAAGACATTTCACGACAATAAGTATCCTCATAAATACTATGCGGCGCAGACGCAACTCCCGATAATGAACAATGTTCCACTTCACCGAGATCCAAACCAACAGCGTTTAATTCATGTGGTGTCATGTTGTTAGGTTTCCTATCCTTTTTGCGTCGCTTTCTCGGTTTAATTATCCTGGGCAACATAGTTTCAGAATTTGTTGAGCCGGAACTCTCATCGCTCGCGACACTAACCGCATCCGTGTTGTTATTGCGTACACTTCGCGACGAACGTGTTTGTTGTTGCTGGTTACGAGGCCGGTTTCCCTCTGGGACTTCACAACGGTCTCTAATAACATGATCACTATGTCCAGTGACAGGTCGATGGTTACGTTGCTCCGGTGTGGTGGTGTACTTCCTTCGGTCATGTTTATTTTGTATGATGAGGGGCGCCCCTTGTGCGTGCATCGCTAGCTTGGAGACTGGTGTATTGCGTGAAGGTGGCGGTGCACGTCCGGCCATGGATATAAGGGGCGCACCGAGCCAAGCATTCGGGTGCGGCACGCCATAGGGCGGATAATAGGGCGGCGGGAATCCCGGTGCGGTGGTGGCATACTGAGGGCGAGCGGGTTCGCGGCGCCCGAGGGCGACACGCTCGCCCGGACTCATCACGCCTAAGAGGGTGTTTAACCCATATTCGAAAGCGTTCGATTCACTGTCACGGTAAAAGTCCGAAATTCGTCGCGATGTCGTAATCGTACACTAACATCTGTTGAACAAAAAAGGAGTACGCGTCTGCTCGCCGCAGTTGTCGGCGGAGAACTAAAGTGAATGAGTGCGACACAGCCGCGGCAGCGAGTGTCGAGTGGGAGTGCCTTCTCGCGCCACGCGACTTCGCAGACGCGCGACTCGCCGCCGATGCACCGGAAAGCTTTGTAGCCCTAATTGCTTTACAATTAAAGCAGCAGTTGTTTACTTTCTTAGTGTTATAAGTTATAATACGTTATTATATATGTTCAAATAGCACTCCATATTTATTTTTCAATTAATATTTCTTATAAACAGTAATAAAGGAAATTCTATAACAATAGTAAATGCGTAATTTCTATCTACCTATCTCCATATCTTATCTCATTACCTATATACAGGTATATATACATACATACTCCAAAATATTACTTTAAATCATTTAAAACTAATTTGCTTTCACTTTGGTAATAAAAACTAAGCTTTATATTGATTTTAAATTAATATTTTTATGCATTCAATGAAGTACTTACACATCCCACATCCTCGTTGCATCACAAATCGCGAAATATTCTTACCTGAAACAATAAAATATCGTTCATTAGCGTCATATGTCATTAATCAAAAACAAGTACGGAAACGCACTGCGTCCTAAACGTCTCTTCAGTAAATTATAGGGTAATTCTTGCAGGCAGCCTTAATAAAACTTTTATTACCCCGTAAATTGTTTTCAAAACATGCATGGTTGCTTAATGTACTTATTTATGTTACACAACATATCGAGGACATCGAAATCCGGCATACAGTCGACGAGACGATAACGAAACCATAAAATTCAGCACTAACAAATACAAGAAAACTATTATTACAGGTATTCAAATTCATAACATTTTTAATGTGCAAGGTTTTTTTTAAATGGAATAATGAATTTTGAACGGAATGAAATAAATAGACTATTAAAAACAGGATTTAAAGTATTTAGTTCAAATAATACGGCATAGGATCAAGTTTAGGAAACAACTTCTTATTTCATTCTAGATTTTAAACACGATACATCTAACTATTGTATAAAATAAAAATAATTTTAATTGTGCCATTGTTTGTATCTCAATTTGTAATCAAAATGCTGTATGCATTACTAATCCATTTGATATAATAGATTTCTATAGGAGTGTCATTTTAGCATTTTCGTTATTCTATTATTGGAAATATGAAATGAAATGAAAAGAAATTTATTCGTTATAAAAGTAGTACGTAATAGATGGGTGGTTATTTAACGATGGAATGTCAATTTTTTTTTCCTTAAAGTAACATAATATTTGTAACTTAATTTAATAAAATGCATTTCTACCTGTTTCCCGTGACATGTAAAACTTCCTTTCCGCCCGTTTGCATATAAGAGGGGCGCGAGAAAGTGAACTTTGTGATTCAGATGCCTCTCTCTCGATAACCGTCAACTGAACATCTTTTAGCATATGTGTATATGTACACATGAGCCTCCATTTAGCATACTCATACACAAAACGAGGCGGAACTTTCATCGCGATAATATCGAAAGTCGTGGCGGATCTGATGACTCGTTACAACTACTTATAATTGTATTAATGTTCACGTACTTTTTACGATTCGAATGAAATAAATTTATTTTCATTATCACCTCTATATAATTAATGTGAATTTGTTCATGGTACTTTTTGTTGCTGTCAAATAGTATTTCCGGTGGGTCGTAAGCAATTCATGATTTCATTAATTCATCAATCGATTGTTGTTATCACAAAAACTTTTACAACTAATTCTACACTTTCGAACATTACAGATTTAATTCTGTACTGACTGAATGCCTATATTTTTTCACGATAGGAGCGAACACGGGCGGATTCGTATGGATTATTACAGCATAAATTACTTAGTATATAACTTTACAAATGAATAATTAATATTAGTTACTTAAGTATTTTTTAATTACTCTTAATGTACCTATTTTACAATTTAAGTATTATGTTATACTAAAAATAAGAGATCACGATGACTGCTTTTAAAATCGGTAAACTTTTTAACAATAGACTTTTAACATCCAAGTGAATCGCTACCACGAAATTTTATAATACTCATATAGTTAATACTTTTGATCTCTCTTGCAATAATTCACGTAGATACGCAACGAAGACCTACCAACAAACATAGTGATTCGTAACAGGGAACGCCACTTTGAGACTGACAAGGAAAAAGTATATAGAATCAAGGACATGAACCTAAAGTATGGTTGATCACGACTTTATAGAAGGAAGGAAAACTACACTGGAGGTAGTCAAAGCACAACATTACTTTAAAACTCATAACGTTACATTTATTTACCTGGACAACAAAGTATAAAATATGAGACTTTGCTCTTCAGATGATTGCACAAGTTTTTACAGTACTTACGAAGTAAACTAAAACTATTTGTTTTTAACGACACTCAGGGTAGTACTATTTGACATAATAATTTATTGTCACTTATAATTAAAACTAGAATATTTGTTTGGCTAAACTATTATCACCTATTTAAATCACCTCACCATTACAATTCAGTCCACTCTTTTATTTTAGTCCTCAGGTTTGCTGAGAGGTAGCTGAACTCCGCGTAAACATGAGATATAGAGGCATCATAACACCTACATATAAATATTATTAAGTCGAAATTATCGCTGACTTTCGCTTCTCCTTATTCATAACCAGGTAAAGGATTTTTATATAATTTGTACTATTGTGTGAACAATTCCATCCAGAATGTTTATATGAATGATACGAGTACATCCATACAACGTTCACTGTTATTGGGGGGATTGTTAGTAATGTGTGTTTGCAAGCAATGTGCCATGTCAAATTCATCTCCACGCGGTTCCGCCTGGAAACCATCGTGATAAATTCCTGGTGTATTTACCAGTATGGGCTAACAGTCCTGACCTCTTGTAATACTCCATTGGTGCACTGCCAGCATATACCGTTACCGCAGGCGGGTGCACCAATTAATTATCAAGAATTTAATAGAAATATTCACTGTACACTCTTAGGAAGCCAAGATGGATTACATAATGTCCATAAAGCTGTTGATCTCTATTATCACTTTGTTTACTATTCCAAGCATTGTATTTTCAATTTATCTGGCATAGTGTTTTCGATGGGCTAACCTTTATTCGCATTACAGTTCAATGTTAACAATTGTTGTAGACAGGTACAATCTAAATATTAGGTAGATAGTCATCTCTTAAAATATCACGCTGTGTGGTGTATCGAAAAACATGTTGTTTGCGACTTTCATGAAAATACAACTAAAAGACGTCAATGTTTTTCATCATTTAATATTAAAAACAAATTTCAATTTGTATGGACCAACACCGGTAAGATCACTTTCAGGTGAGTACTCAAGCTTCAGTATTGTTCTCTGTCATAATATTTATTAGGCTAAAATGTTCGGTATTTAAAAACATATAATAATAGAAAATACAATTGTATTGTATATGGCCAGTACGTCAGCAACATGTATTGTTTCTGACTTTCGTACTAAAATAAAACAGTAAAATCAGATAAAAGTAAAGTCAATTTAAAAATGATAACTATAGAGTAACTAGTCTCAGTATATAGGTATCAGTCTTTAAATATCCCAAAAAAAAAATGATAGGTTTGTAAATAGCAACAGCTGTTACGCGCAACATCTTGAGTTAAACTATATTTTAACTTAATTAAAAATATATATCTTGTGTCTATCCTTAATGATAGAACAGTAAATATTGGCAATTCAATTTTAATTAACATCCGTTTAGCTAAACAATTGTGAAAAACCTACATGGCCAGAAACACACACTTTCTCATTTCCAATTTTAGTATAAATATTTAAAGTCTTACAACATCTTAAACTAAACTCTGATTCTTTATTTGAACACAATATTTTTCTATTTGGCACTCTACAACAACACCGCAATAGAGTTACGATTATATTTGTTCGTCATATTTTTTATTATACATTACATCACTGAGCGAGTTAATAGCTTATATCCGATACCAACACCACATAACGGCCACAAAATCTCTATTATATCACACAACTTTCATATAACTAACCTCAATTTGGTTGCACGGTGTAATTTTTCTATAAATAACAGTACGGTTGCTATGATACAGCAGATAGTGCAGAGAAAGTGACGGTGCTGTTACGTTGACCCCTGTTTGCTGGTCGCGTGCTAAGACAAAATCAATTTTCTATCCACTCTCACTCTCGAATTGATGCGTTACCGAGGTCCCATATTACATGTTACAGCTATTATTACGAGAGCACGGTAATTATAGAGCTGGGGCAAGGAAACACGTGGCAAGATAGATGTGTTCCAAGACGCAAACACGCTTTGAATAGATAAACTAAACGATCTGAGTCGCCGCTGTGGGTGTTCAATTTGTTTCAGTATTATCGAATTAAACATATATATTTTCAGAGCGAATATAGACTTTAAATCTACATGCATATACTTGTTCGAGTAAAATAGTAAAGATCAGAGTTTATTCACAAAAAATATATAAGCTAGAAGAATGTGCAGTAAAACGCAAATCGGCCATCTTATAAATCAAGGGTCCAACATAAAAAAGCTGGACGTTTTATTAGATACTGTCAATAAATTTGCTCACAACGAATACCTAATATTGTGATATATATATTGTATGAAATCTTTTAAAATATACATCCTTTATTAATTATTTTACGTTTAAAATAAGTAATATACTGGTGAAATTCTCTAAAACCTGAGAACTAAGTAGACGAACTAAGAGCTGAGAAAGAGTTTACAAAATCTATTTATAAACGGAAAAAGAATAATCTATTCAAAACGAGCCATGAAAACTTATATTGAATTCATAAAGGTAATTAATTCATGGAAAAAAAACAATTATTAATGCAACCACTGACGACTATGAAGTCTCTTTAATTTTTTTATGTACGTGAAACAACGTTAAGTCGCCGGCCTATCTGATGGTAAGTAGAGTAAACGTTTCCTATATACATGAGCTGCGCTACGACATCATGCTATCAAGATAACATGGATCATCGCGTGATGAATATGATATATGATTCATGCGTTGTCTTTCTGGAGGACTTACTTATTTAACTTACGTAGGCAAAGTTC